TAGAGACGGGGTTTCACCATGTTGACCAGGATGGTCTCGATCTCTTGACCTCGTGATCCACCCGCCTCGGCCTCCCACAGTGCTGGGATTACAGGCTTGAGCCACCGCGCCCAGCCAGTACAAAACTCTTTATTCACTAAATAATTTATTGTCTCTTTGCAAATAACACGTAGGGGTGAGATTTTAAAATAATGATTTGTATTGATAGCTCTAATTCTTCCTCCAGTCCATATTTGTATCCCCCTTCTCACCAGTAACAATTTTTTAAAATCTGTGTTTTTTTAATTTACTCACTACAGTAATACACATAGAAAAGTTTTGGAAGTACAGGCTGGGTGTGGTGGCTCATGCCTGTAATCCCAGCACTTTGAGAGGCCAAGGCGGGCGGATTGCCTAAGCTCAGGAGTTTGAGACCAGCCTGGGCAAGATGGCAAAACCCTGTCTCTACTGAAAATACAAAAAATTAGCCAAGTGTGGTGGCACACACCTGTAGTCCCAGCTACTCAGGAGGCTGAGGTGAGAGAATTGCTTGAACAAGGATGGCAGAGGTTGCAGTGAGCTGAGATCATGCCACTGCACTCCAGCCTGGACAACAGAGTGAAACTCTGTCTCGAAAAGAAAAAAAAAGAAGAGTTTTGGAATTGCTATACCATCACCAACATCAGTTTTTTTTGTTGTTGTTGGAATCCAGTATATCCCACTGAGGGTGGATGGTCAGGGTACTATGTTCAGAAGCTACTTAGAATCTAATTCTTTCCTTCTCTGATTATGTTATCACCCTGATACATGGGTAGGTTTTTTTGTTTTTCTTTGTACTTAGTTTTAGGGTCTTTGTTATTGATTTAATTTTTAAAATTGTGAAAAATTAACATGGCTTAAATGTCAAAACTTTTTATATAAAAATGTTTCCTCAGAGAAGTTTCATTCCCTTCCCTATCCCTTCTTTTCTGTTTCTATCTATACACTAGAAAAATAATTTCATTACTTTCCGGTTTATTTTTCTCAAATTGTTTCCTTTTGGAAAAATTAACCAGTAAAAGTATATCATATTTATATTTATTTTCCCTCCATTCTTAGTTCTCCTTTGTCATGGAAGTCTTTCTTCTGCAAAGGATAGCATGCTATGTACACTGTTCTTCACCTTGCTTTTTCCTTCGTGTTTCCTACAACTCTCTCTCTCTCTCTCTCTCTTTTTTTTTTTTTTTTGAGACGGAGTCTCACTCTGTCAACCAGACGGAAGTGTAGTGGCATGATCTCGGCTCACTGCAACCTCCGTCTGCCAAGTTTCTGCCTCAGCCTCCCGAGTAGCTGAGGCTACAGGTGCACACCATTATGCCGAGCTATTTTGTGTTTTTAGTAGAGATGGGGTTTCACCATGTTGGCCAGGATGGTCTCGATCTTTTGACCCTGTGATCTGCCTGCCTTAGCTTTTCAAAGTGCTGGGATTACAGACATGAGCATTTATATTATATATCAGGTAGATCACCTGATATCAGGAGTTCAAGACCAGCCTGACCAACATGGTGAAACCCTATCTCTACTAAAAATAGAAAATTAGCCGGGTATGATTGTGCATGCCTGTAATCCCAGCTACTTGGGAGGCTGAGGCAGGAGAATTGCTTGAATCTGGGAGATGGAGGTTGCAGCGAGCCGAGATTGTGCCCCTGCACTCCAGCCTGGGCAACAAAAGTGAAACTCTGTCCCAAAATAATTAAAAAACAGTGAATAAAAGGAAATTGAGTTCCATTCCTGTTTTTTTTTTAAAGCCATACATCTATTAAATTCATTCTTCTCTTTGTTTTTTTCTCTCTAATTTTAGTCTGTGCTGAGACCTATAACCCTGATGAGGAAGAGGAAGATACAGATCCAAGGGTAAGACCCAAAGCAAAGATGTTAGGTAGAATTGTATTTCTCACTAACTCGCCTTCTCTACATAACAAAAATTCGTCATACTAGTAATTAAATACAAATTAAAATATCAACAAAGTGACATTTTCAGTCTAACAGATTGAAAGCTGCATTGGTTGAGGGTATGGTGAGAAGTGCCTAGCTGTAGCTGTCAGAAGCCTTAAACAGCCTGGGCATGGTGGTTCACTCCTGTAATCCCAACACTTTGAGATGCTGAGGCAGGAGGATCGCTTGAGGCCAGGAGTTCAAGACTAGCTTGGACAATATAGCAAGACCCCATATTTGTGGGGAAAAAAAAATTAGCCAGGGTTGGTGGGACATGCCTGTATTTGCAGCTATTTAGGAGCCTGAGGCAGGAGGATTGCTGCTACAGTCTAGGAGGTCAAGGCTGCAAACAAAACATACACACACACACACACACACACACACACACTCTCTGCCGAGGATGGTGGCTCACACCTGTAATCCTAGCACTTTGGGAGGTTGAGATGGGAAGATCACTTGAAGCCCAGCAGTTTGAGACTAGCCTGGGCAATGTAGCTAGACCTCATCTCTATTTAAAAAAAAAAAAAAAAAATTAACAACAAGCCTTAAATACTTACAGTCAAGCCAACTGATTTAGCGTTTACCTAAAGGAGAATTCATCCCTAATGAAAGTTGGATCCTTCTTGAGGATATACAAGTGGAGCTTATTGTAGTGTTATAACAATGGACCCAAACTATGGGATTACAAGGGGCTAAATTATGGTACATTAAAATGAAGAGAATCTGTAGCCATTGAAAGTGATGGTACAGGACTGTATGTAATGGCATGGGATGTATGTTTGTGTGAGGTGCATTTTATAGAGCATTTTGTAAAATAAATTTGAAATATATATATTTATTTATTTATTTATTTGTACATATAGAAAATTCTATCTGGAAGGATATACCCCAGATGTTAATAGTAGTTGTGATAAGACCATGTTTGATTTTTGAGTGCTTTTTTTTAAAAAAAAAAACAAAAAACTTAGTTTTTTAAACTTTTGTAAAATTGACATAAATTACTTTTATGAGAGAATATATGAACTATCATTTTTAAAAGATTGATGTTATAGTCTGGGTGTAGTGGCTCATGCCTGTAATTCCAGCACTTTGGGAGGCCGAGGTGGGTAGATCACCTGAGGTCAGGAGTTCCAGACCAATCTGGCCAACATAGTGAAACCTCGTCTCTACTAAAAATAGAAAAATTAGCCAGGTGTGGTGGCGGGCACTGGTAATCCCAGCTAGTCGGAAAGCCAAGGCAGGAGAATCGCTTGAACCTGGGAGGCAGAGGTTGTGGTGAGCTGAGATCTCACCACTGCACTCCAGCCTGGGCGACAGAGTGAAACTCTGTCTCAAAAAACAAAAAAACGATTGATGTTATAAAAAAAACTTTAGTGAGCCGGGCATGGTGGCTCACTCCTGGAATCCCAGCACTTTTGGAGGTGGAGACAGGTGGATTACAAGGTCAGGAGTTTGAGACCAGCCTGACCAACATGATGAAACCCCATCTCTACTAAAAACACAAAAATTAGCCTGGTGTGATGGTGTGTACCTATAATCCTACCTACTCAGGAGGCTAAGGCAGGGCAATCACTTGAACCTGGGAGGTGGAGGTTGCAGTGAGCCAAGATTGCACCACTGCACTCCAGCCTGGGCAACAGAGCAAAACTCTGTCCCAAAAAAAACAAAAACAAAAAAAACTTTTAATGATCTATCATTTTACCTTTAAGTCAAGTTACCCTTAAAATGAGTAACGTGTGAAAGATTTCTGAAGTATTCTAATAAATGCTACCATTTTTGTGAATGTAAAAGTCATGTAAATTTTTAAATTCTAGTTATAAAATTCTTGATGACTATAAAACAGTTATTTCCTAATTTAATATCACAAATTTAAAATACTTAACACTTTTTTTTTGGTGACGGAGTCTCGCTCTGTTACCAGGCTGGAGTGCAGTGGTGCAATTTTGGTCACTGCAACCTCCTACTCCCTGGTTCAAGCGATTCTCCTGCCTCAACCTCCCAAGTAGCTGGGATTGCAGGCAAGTGTCACCACGCCCAGATAATTTTTGTATTTTTAGTAGAGACAGGGTTTCACCATGTTGGCCAGAATGGTCTTGGTCTCCTGACCTTGTGATCTGCCCGCCTCAGCTTTCCAAAGTGCTGGAATTGCAGGTGTGAGCCACCAAGTCCAGCCAACACTTTTAACGTCTGTTATTTCTGGTCAGATTAAATGATGTACCTTTTTTTTTGAGTAGATGCTCAATATTTGTTTAAACACAAATTTATAACCCTCTGCTTTATGGATGAAGATCCTGAGGCTCCCAAGGGACAGCTGACTTGCTGCCAGCCACTTAGGAGTTGGCTCCAGGGTCAGTGCTCTTCACCCTTATATTACATTGTCCCTGCACCTTCAGCATACAGCTTGATATTTATGTAAAATTAAAATGACAGCATACTCTGTATTTTCCCCACTCTTTGTAGAAAGAAATATACCAGTCTTTAAGTGGTTATTTTAAAATGGAATAAAATAATTTCCATGGTTTTATTTGGGTTGGCAGGTGATTCATCCTAAAACTGATGAACAGAGATGCAGACTTCAGGAAGCTTGCAAAGATATTCTCCTTTTCAAAAATCTTGATCAGGTAACATTGATTTCTAAAGTATTTTTATTATATGATCTTTTAGCTTTGCTCCTATTTGTCACTTAAACTTTAATTTTTAGCATTCTAGCCACAGCCATATTAAGCATAAAACCTTAGATTCATCTTACATGCAGATGTTTTCATTGCATTGACTACTTTAACCCAGACATGATTTTTCAGATGCCTTTTAGTGCAGTAGTCCCCCTTATTCTTGGTTTCGCTTTCCAGGGTTTCAGTTGCCCATAGTTAATGAAAGTCCAAAAATACTAAATGGAAAATTCCAGAAATAGCGGGTGTGGTGGCTCATGCCTGTAATCCCAGCACTCTGGGAGGCTGAGGTGGGTGGATCACCTGAGGTCAGGAGTTCCAGCCTGGCCAACATGGCGAAACCCTGTTGACCAGCCTGGCCAACGTGGCAAAACCCCGTCTCTACTAAAAATACAAAAATTAGCTGGGCATAGTTGCACACATCTGTAATCCTAGCTCCTCAGGAGGCTGAGGCAGGAGAATTGTTCCACTCCAGGGGGCAGAGGTTGCAGTAAGCCAAGATCGCACCACTGCATTCCAGCCTGGGTAACAGAGTGAGACTCCACCTTAAAATTTTCAAAAAGGAAATTCCAGAAATAATTCTTGTAAAGTTGTAAAGGGCATGCTGTTCTGAATCTTATGCTGTCCTGCTCTGCTACCACCCAGAGCATAAATCATCACTTTGTCCCAGTGTATCCATGCCATATATGCCACCTGTCCATTAGTCATTTAGCCACCATCTAGCAGTACTCCTATTTAAGTAACCTTATTTTATTTATTGATGGCCCCAAAGCACAAGAGAAGTGATGCTGGTAATTCAGATATGCCAAAGAGAAGCCATAAAATGCTTTCTTTAAGTGAAAAGATGAGAGAAATTTAAGGAAAGAAAGAAACAAATTGTATACTGAGATTGCAGAAATCTATGATAATGAATCTTCTGGCTGGGCGTGGTGGCTCACGCCTGTAACCCTAGCACTCTGAGAGGCCGAGGCGGGTGGACTCCCTGAGATCAGGAGTTCAAGACCAGCCTGGCCAACATGGTGAATTTCCATCTCTACTAAAAATACAAAAATTTAGCCAGGTGTGGTAGCATGCGCCTGTAATCCCAGCTACTCAGGAGGCTGAGGAATGAGAATTGCTTGAATCCAGGAGGCAGAGGTTGCAGTGAGCTAAGATCATACCATTGCATTCCAGCCTAGGTGACAGAGTGAGACTCTGTCTCAAAAAAAAAAAGAAAAGAAAAAAGAATAAGAATCTTTTTATTTGTGAAACTGTGAAGGAGGAAAAAGAAATTTAGGCTAGTTTTGCTGTCTCACCTCAAACTGCACAAGTTACAGCCTCAGTGCGTGGTAAGTACTTGGTTAAGATGGAAAGGCATTACGTTTGTTGATGGAAGATATGAACAGAAATGCGTTCCAGTTGACAGCAATAGGGTTCAACACTATCTGTGGTTTCAGACATCCACATATCCCCTTGGAACATACTCCCCATGGATAAGGGGAGGACTCCTGTATTTTTCTGAGCCGCTTTGGCACTTTCTCATTTGAAGACCATGAAGCTTGGTCATGTTGCAAGGAAATGCTCAGATTTGCATGACCCTGGCTTAGGGTCTGAATTGTCCTACAAAGAGATTGATTTTTCTGAAGATGCTGGTATGTAGTTCCTTTCATTAATAATAGTTACCCCACTGGCTTACCACAGTGTGTGATAAGTGCTTCTTGAGAATGGTGTGTTTCTGCAGTGCTTAGCATAGGATCTATGACCTGGGCCTGTCCTCCCTATCTTGGTGGTAGAAATAAAGAACCAGGGCTACATCCTGATAGCTGTCCTAGTACATTTGGGCTACTATAACAAAATACTGTCACCTGGGTGGCTTATAAACAGTGGAAATTTCTCACAGTTCTGGAGTCTGGGAAATCAAGCTCAAGGTGCCATCAGATTTGGTGTCTGATCAAGAGCCTACTTCTTGTTTCAGAAATAGCCATCTCTGTGTTCTCACATGGTAGAAGGAGGGATAGAGCTCTCAGGGTCTCTTTTATAGGGGCACTAGTCCCATTCATGACCTAATCACTGACAAAGGCCTTACCATCTAATACCATCACATTGGGTGTCAGGTTTTAACATGGAATTTTGGGGTGACATAAATATTTAGTTCATAGTAATAGAGAATCTTCAGATTTCCTGTTTCTTTTCTACTTTGTTTCTTCTCTATTCATCTTTACTTTGAAGGCCACACTGGAGGCCAGGCACAGTGGCTCACGCCTGTAATCCCAGCACTTCGGGAAGCTGAGGCGGACAGATCACTTGAGATCAGGAGTTCAGGACCAGTCTGGTCAACATGGTGAAACTCCATCTCTACTAAAAATACAAAAATTAGGCAGGTGTAGTGGCATGTGCCTGTAGTTCCAGCTACTTGGGAGGATGAGGTAGAAGAATCGCTTGAACTGGGGAGGTAGAGGTTGCAATGAGGTGAGGTTGCACCACTGCACTCCAGCCTTGGTGACAGAGTGAGATTCTATCTCAGAAAAGTTAAAAATTAAAAATTAAAAAAATTTAAAACCACATGAATGGCTGAGTTGCTAGGCCTATTGAGGAGTCCCAGAATGTGCAGAGATAGGAAGGCTGGGATTACATTTCCTCTATTACCAAGCTCCTACAAAAAAGGCTTCTGAAGACATTTCCACAGCCCTCCCTGGGAATCTGGCTGGTCAGATATGAGCTTAAATGCATCAGTCAAAGGAGTTAATAAAACCTCTTGTAAATTTTATACCATTATAGTTGTTATAAGGGAAGTTTCTATGTCAATCTAATAGTCAGTTTTCTTAGTGTTGGAGAATACCATTTTAGTGTTGAAAAGTTGTAACTTGGCTGGGCACGGTGTGGTTCATGCCTGTAATCCCAGCACTTTGGGAGGCTGAGGAGGGTGAATCATCTGAGGTCAGGAGTTCGACACCAGCCTCGCCAACATGGTGAAACTCCGTCTCTACTAAAAATACAACAATTAGCTGGGCATGGTGGCAGGTGCCTGTAATCCCAGCTACTTAAGAGGCTGAGGCAGGAGAATCGCTTGAACCTGGGAGGCAGAGTTTTCAATGAACTGAGAGTGCTATTGCACACCAGCCTGGGCAACAAGAGTGAAATTCCGTCTTAAAAAAAAAAAAAAATTACTTCTCTCAATAATGTCTTTTTTCTGGTAGAGGATCCAGTCCAGAATCTCATGTTACATTTAGTTGTTATTTCTTCTTAATCGCCTCCAATCTGTGGCAGTTTTCAGTCTTTCCTTGTCTTTCATAATCTTGACACTTTGAAGAGTAATTCTATAGAATGTCTCTCCATTTGAGTTTGATGTTTCCTCATGATTTTGGAATATGGTTATATTTTTGGCCACACTACCACAGAAATTATTTTGTGTCTGTCTGAAAGCATCATATCAAGGGCCTCATGATATAAGTATGTCTTATTGCCAGCAATGTTGGTTCATTCCTTTTTATTGCTGAGTAGTATTTCGTTGTTCAAAAATACCGATTTATCCATTCTTCCGTTAATGAATACTTAGTCTATTTCTCGTTTTTAGCTATTATGAATAACACTGTCAACATTTTGTATAAATCTTTTTGTGAACCTTTCCCCCAAGTTATCTTGAGTAAAATACCTGAGAGGAAAATTGCTGAGTCATAAGATAGGTATATGTTTGACTTTGTAAACAAATCTGCCAGATCAGCTGGGTGCAATGGCTCATGCCTGTAAATCCCAGCACTTTGGGAAAACAAGGCGAGTGGATCACCTGAGGTCAGGAGTTCAAGACCAGCCTGGCCAACATGGTGAAGCCTCCCTCTCTACTAAAAATATAAAAATTAGCTGTGCATGGTGGCACACACCTGTGATCCCAGCTATTCAGGAGGCTGAAGCAAGAGAATCACTTGAACTCAGTAGGTGGAAGTTGCATTGGATCGAGATCGTACCATTGTACTCCAGCCTGGGTGAGAGAGTGAGACTCTGTCTCAAAAAAAAAAAAAAAAAAAAAAAGTCTGCCAGATATTTTTCAAAGTAGTTTTACCACTTTGCATTCCTGTCAACAACATATGAGATTTCATGTTGCTCCACATCTTTGCTAACATTTTATATCGTCAGTATTTTTAGTTTTAGCCATTCTGATTAGTGTATTTGTTTCAAATTTAAAATTTATTTTCCAAATTTCTATTTTTAAATTTCAAATTTACAGAAAATTCACAAGAATAATACCATGAATACCCAGACACCCTTTACCTAGACTCTCCAGTTGTGAACATTTTAGCATTTTACCACATTTGCTTTTTCTCTTGTGTGTAAGTTTATGTAAAGAGAGAAAGAAATGGGGAGTATGTATAAAGTGTTTTTCTTTTGTTTTGAATCATTTATGACATCATGACTCTTCACTACTAAATATTTAGGATGTGTTTTCCAGGAACAAGAATATTTTTCGGTCTGGCGCAGTGGCTCACACCTGTAATCCCAGCACTTTGGGAGGCCGAGGCAGGCAGATTACTTGAGGTCAGGAGTTTGTGACCAGCTTGGCCATCATGGCGAAACCCTATCTCTACTAAAAATATGGAAATTAGCTGGACGTGGTGGCACACACCTGAAGTCCCAGCTACTTGGGAGGCTGAAGCAGGAGAATCACTTGAACCTGGGAGGTGGAGGTTGCAGTGGACCAAGATCGCGCCACTGCACTTCAGCCTGGGCGACAAAGTGAGATTCTGTCTCAAAAAAAAATTTATAAAGAATATTTTCCTATGTTAATACGATGTCATTTAATAAATCCAAGAAATTTAACATTGGTAAAATATAAAATCAACTAACAACAGTCCATACTCAGATTTCCTCAGTTTTCCCAGTAAAGTTCTGTATAGCTTTTGGTTTTGTTTTTAAATCCTAAATCACATACAGTACGTCCTCACCTAACATCCTGAATCACATACAATAAGTACTCACTTTAACGTGGTTGGTAGTCTTGGAAACTGCAACTTTAAGCAAAGCAACCTATAATGAAACCTTTTTTCCCCTCATCATTGTTATAACATAACTGTTATATTTGAGGACATTGTTTTGCTTAAATTCACATTTTTCAAGAACCTGTCAACCACATTAAGTGAGGACTTACGGTGTTTCATTTGGTTGTCATGTTGTTATTTTAGTCTCCTCTAACCTAGAAATGCTCCCCTTCCACCTATCTGATTGTATATCTCTTTACACATGTGTTCGAAGAGACCAGACTGGAAGAAGAAAAGTTACTCAAAACAAGAGGCTTCCAGCAGGCAACCCACAGGCTAGGTACAGATGTCTGTGTTTGGTCCGTATTGTACATGAAAATTTAAATTTATCGCCAGAATGTAAATAGATTTCTGGCAACACTGGGCTCACATTCCAGTGAAAGTGGGTAGTATGTCAGTTGTAAGCCATCCTTTTTAGTATTTGTCAGCTTATACAGTATTCAACGCACATGGAACTAAATATACTTTTTGGTGATACTCAATCATCTTGGTAGCACAGTCACTCTGATAGAACATAAAATCACATGGAATTATGCAGTCATAAAATTATTCTCTTTCCAGGTGTTCAGTCTACATTCCTTCAAAGAGAAAATCTTTTTTAAATTGAATCTGGTATTCTTTAATGAACCCCTAATAATCACTTATCTCCCTGTCTGACAGGGATGCTGGCCCCAGGCTGAGACCATTGTTTTGTTAGAATTTAATAATATTGTTTTCTTTTCATTATACTTATCCATATAGTTGATGTCTGGTTATGGCAGGCAATATTAGTAAGTAAGTAATTGTGTGTGTTTTATGTAAATGAAGCAATATTAGCTGTCTTATAATAGATCTCATTTGTTGAGTATCTGTTGTTTCATAAATACTTTCCTTAGGTTTTTCTCTTTGGGTCATAAAAATTGATGAGGTAGAATCTTTGTTGTACCCTTTTTATATATGAAGAAACCGAAGTTTGCTGGGCATGGTAGCTCACGCCTATAATCCCAGCACTTTGGGAGGCCAAGGCGGGTGGATCACCTGAGTTCAGGAGATTGAGACCAGCCTGGCCAACATGGCGAAACCCTGTCTCCTCTACTAAAAATACAAAAATTAGCCAGGTGTGGTGGCGCATGCCTGTAGTCCCAGCTATTTGAGAGGCTGAGGCAGGAGAATCGCATGAACCCAGGAGGTAGAGGTTGCAGTGAGCTGAGATTGCACCACTGAACTCCAGACTAGGCAACAGAGTGAGACTCTGTCTCCAGGAAAAAAGAAGAAAAAGATACTGAAGCTCAACGAGGTTAAGTGACGTGTTTGGCTAGTCAAAGGCAGTTGCGCTGTTCCAAAAGATAACCTCTAAGGCCATAACAGCCCTTTAGATCTGATGATCCTGTTAAGGTCAACACCTGTAGGAAGGTGTGGCAGCATAGGCTTTACACATGGCATAGTGCAGCCATCAGGCAGGTGACAGTCATGTGGATGTGGCTGGGAAAACATGGACCATGATTTAGATAATATTTCTGCGTAAATTGTGGAAAGCTTATTCAAAACAATACTGCCTCAGAAAACTTGCCAGTTTTCTCTCTGCTGAAGTACATGGAGGTAAAAAGCTGAATGGTCCCAAGAAAGCATTTGTTTTAGACAGCCTTTAGGTTTCTGCTTGAATGTGGGGACTTCTGTTACATAGTCACAAATTGAGATAATTATGGTCACTGCTTTTTTTCAGCAAATGTAAAAACTATTTTTTCTTCTGCGCATACCCTGCAGGAACAGCTTTCTCAAGTTCTTGATGCCATGTTTGAAAGGATAGTCAAAGCTGATGAGCATGTCATCGACCAAGGAGATGATGGAGACAACTTTTATGTCATAGAACGGTAGGAGATGGAGCTTTACAGTTGTGTGGCCACACTTAATTGGATTCGTGATTCAGGGCAGATGCTTTATCCTATTCTGTATTCAGCCCAGAGAGGCTTAGGGCCAGGTGAACAATCTTCCCAAAGCCTGTGAGAGTCCACAGCTTGTCCCTCTCTACCAATGCTGTCCTGAGTCCTCAGCACAACTCTTATTTGAAGAGCCATCATCTAGAGTAGAAAGTTCCTTTAGGCCAGGTGTGGTGGCTCACACCTGTAATCTCAACACTTGTGGATCACCTGAGATCAGGAGTTTGTGACCAGCCTGGCCAATATGGTGAAACCCTGTATCTACTAAAAATACAAAAATTAGCTGGGCGTGGTGGCACACACCTGTAATCCCAGCTACTTGGGAGACTTGAAAAAAAAATTATCATAAATACAGGTTTCCCAGGTTAGTGTTCTACTACCTTTGCTTTATTAAGTTATTGTCAAGGCTGGATACAGTGAGCCAAGATCACACCTTTGCACTCCAGCCTGGGCAACAAGAGCGAAACTCTGTCTCTAAAAAAAAAAAAGCAAAAACAAAACATTTTTTAAAAAATTAGATGGGTGTCAGGCGCAGTGGCCCATGTGTGTAATCCCAGCACTTTGGGAGGCCGAGGCAGGCGGATCATGAGGTTATGAGTTCGAAACCAGCCTGACCAACACGGTGAAACCTCAAGTCTATAAAAAATATAAATAAATAAATAAATAAATAAATAAATAAAATGTTGTAGTATTTTTTTTTTCAAAAAGGTAGGGGGAATGGAGGGGAGAGAAAAAGAAATTAGCTGGGCATGGTGGTGCATGCCTATAGTTCCAGCTAATTGGAAGGCTGAGGTGGGAGGATCACTTGAACCCAAGAGGTTGAGTCTGCAGCGGGCAGTGATTGTAACACTGCACTCTAGCCTGGGGGACAAAGTGAGACCCTGTCTCAGAATAAAAGAAAAAAGAATGTGGTGATTAACAAATAGGAAAGGACTGACCACAGTGGCTCACATCTGTAATCCCAGCACTTTGGGAGGCCAAGGCAGGCGGATCACAAGGTCAGGAGTTCGAGCCCAGCCTGTCCAATATGGTGAAACCCCATCTCTACTAAAAAATATAAGAATTAGCTGGGTGTGGTGGCTTGCACCTGTAGTCCCAGCTCCTTGGGAGGCTGAGGCAGGAGAATTGCTTGAACCTGGGAGGTGGAGGTTGCAGTGAGCTGAGATCAAGCCACTGCCCTCCAGCCTGGGTGACAGAGTAAGACTCTGTCTCAAAAAAAAAAAAGAAAAGAAAGATTATCATTCAAATAAAAAGGTAGTTCTGGCCTCAAAAAGTTCAGTGGTCAAGTTGGAGAGACGGACCTTTAAATGGATAATGATTACATAATGTGGTGGTAACAACAATGATAAAAATATGCCTCATTACTTAGAGGAGGGCCTGAATGAGAATTCTGGATAGTTCCTCTGCAATGTTGCTGCCTGAAATGAGCTCTTGTCACTCCCAAAGTTAAATGCTAGTGTCTCCTGGAGGAAACACTAGAAGCACTGAATTCCATGTTTCCTATTAATGACCTTATTAATTTTGCCTTGTCTATAAAGGCCTACTACAGGTCAGCTTTCCTACTGAGTGGTAAGCTCCCTGAGAGCAAGGTTAGTGGCACATTCTCTGCTTTTCTTTTAATACGTGATGTGTAGTGATTTTTTAGACAGATGGAAGTTCTTTGTAGGAAATTTAGAATATAAAAATATAAGAACAGGATAAAATTAATTTAGGCATAATCTAATTACCAGTCCATACTTCTGTGCTTTACTGTTGAGATTGGACACCTCACCCAAAATGTGGTTGAGATATCAAGACTGATGACATTATATATACACTAAAAGGGTATGAAAAGGTTTATTACTTACATGTTGAACCTTTTTAGAGAGAGCAGAGGAGGCTCCCAGACAGATCCAAAATGACTTTAGATAAAAGGCAAGGTATGATTGGCCTGGGATTTTATGATGGTTAGAAGGTAGGGTTAGGTGAAGGTACTCTTACACATGGGCTGGCATTTGTGTTGGTTGAACTCCCCATCAGCACCAAAGGAGGGAGCGCCCAGGCTTTCTTACAGCTTGCCCAGATATAGGACAGAGGAGAAAGAGTTTGAAAACTATCAATAATCAAACATCAAAAATGGAGTCAACTAATGGAGTTATCTTTACATAATTTTTTTTTACATTAAATCATACATTGTGTGATTTAATTTTTTAAGTCTATTTTAAGCATGTTATGGAGTTACAGTAGTATTTTGTCCTTATTATCAATATTATTATTATTATTTTTTTTGAGACAGAGTCTCACTCTGCTACCCAGGCTAGAGTACAGTGGCTCGAGCTTGGCTCACTGCAACTTCCGCCTCCCAGGTTCAAGTGATTCTCCTGTCTTAGCCTCTCAAGTAGCTGGGATCACAGGCAGGTGCCACCACGCCCAGCTAATCTTTGTGTTTTTATTAGAAACAGGGTTTCACAATGTTCTCCAGGTTGGTCTTGAACTCCTCATCTCAGGTTACCTGCCCGCTTTAGCCTCCCAAAGTGCTGGGATTACTACAGCCGTGAGCCACTGTACCCAGCCATATTCTGTCATTACTTTTAGTGACTCCATAATATGGATGGAAACATGTATTTGACCCATCTCCTATTATTAGCGGATTAAATTACTTATAGTTTTTACTATTATAAATATTACCTGGTGAAATCCCTGCAATTAAATCTTTCGTAGTGTCTTTGATTATCTCTTTTGGGATGACTAGAAATGGAATTGCTGTATCAAAGGGTCTTTTTAAGATGTTTGCTATATGTTTAATTATCTTTCAGAAACTTTGAAAAGTTTATGTTTCCTTCAGTGGTATGTTGAGAGTCCCTATTTCTGCAAATGCTTGTCAGTTCTGAATTTTTTTTTTTAGCAATTACTGCCAATTAATAGTTAAATAATTGTATCATTTGCTTTCTTTATTTTAATCAGTTGTATCCTAATTTTGTACAGACTATGAAAGAAAACCCATGTACTTTTTTCAATACCTACAGCAAAATATTTGACAAAACTCAACATCTTTTTGTGATGAAAATGCTCAGCAAATTAGCAACAAAAATAACTTTCCCCAACCAGACTAAAGGCATTTTTTAAAAACCGACAGCATGGTGAAAGATTGTTTTTCCTTACAACTCAGAATAAGGCAAGGATGTTTGCTTTCACCACTTTCACTTAATATTGTACTGAAGGTTATAGTCAATTCAGTAAGGAAGAGAGGGAGGGAGGGAGGCAAGGAATAAAGGAAGGAAGAAAGAAAATGTGGCATAGATCCACGATGAAGTACTATTTGACCATAAAAAAGAAGGAAGTCATGTCATTTGTAGCAACATGGAGGTTGCTACATTAAGTTAAATAAGCTAGGCACAGGAAGACAAATACCACATGTTCTCACTCACATGTGAGTGCTAAAACACTGATATGATAGACCTAGAGAATAGTGATTTTATACCAGAAATTGAGAAGGGTGGTGAGTGGATGAAGAGAAGCTGGCTAATGGCTACAAACACATAGTTAGAAGAAATATGTTTTAATGTGTCTTTCTTATCTTTAATTTTCCTTTTTGTGGAGACAAGTCTCCATATGTTGGCCAGGTGTATCTCAAACTCCTGGGCTTAAGCAATTCTCTCAGTTCAGCTTCCTAAAGTGCTGAGATTACAGGTGTGAGCCACTTCACCTGGAAAGTTCTAATGTTTTATAGCATGATAAGGTGACTATACTTGGTGGCAATATTTTGCATATTTCAAAGTAACTATTAATAGAAGAGAGGACCTGAAATGATAGCGACACATAGAAATGACATATATCCAAGGTGATGGATACCCCAAATACCCTGGCTTAATCATTACCCATTCTGTGCATGGAACAGACGCTCACATGTACTCCATAAATATGTAAAATATATGTATTAATTTTAAAAAATTTAGGCTGGGCATGGTGGCTTATGCCTTTAATCCCAGTACTTTGAGAGCCTGAGAGAGGAGGATTGCTTGAGCCCAGGAGTTCCAGACCAATTTGGGCAACATAGTGAGACCATCCCCATCTCTACAAAAATAAAAATAAAGTTAGATGTGGTGGCACACCTCTGTGGTCATAACTACTCAGGATGCCCAGGTGAGAGGATTGCTTGGGGCCAGGAGGTGGAGGCTACAGTGAGCCATGATCGTGCCACTGCACTCCAGCCTAGGTGTCAGAACAAGACCCTGTCTCAAAAAAAAAAAAAAATTTTTTTTAAGTTAAAGATGGGGGGAAAAAAGAAAGGGGCATATAGATTGGAAAGGAAGCATTAAAACTGTCTTTGTTTCAGGTGACGTGATCTCTATGTAGAATATTCCAAGAATGCCACAAAAAAAGGCTACTAGAATTAATAAGTGAGTTTAGCAAGGTTATAGGACACAAGTCAAAATACAAAAATATGTTGTATTTTTATATACTAGCAAAGTTCCATTGGAAATCTCTTAAAACAACATTTTCTATTATATGTACCTGCCAGTTTTTACATTTATTATCAGAAGTAACTAATGAAATAATTTTTTGTCATTCTTCTAGGGGAACTTATGACATTTTAGTAACAAAAGATAATCAAACCCGCTCTGTTGGTCAGTATGACAACCATGGCAGTTTTGGAGAACTAGCTCTGATGTACAACACCCCGAGAGCTGCTACCATTGTTGCTACCTCAGAAGGCTCCCTTTGGGGACTGGTAAGTGAGAGACATTTTTCCTCTTGTAAGGCACAGTATTAATTGCCCTTCTGGGTCTCTGTCCTTGGGCTCTTGATTTACACACTATATCTTATAGCCAGTTATCTGAAAGATATTGTGGAAGATCTTGTACAAATTCATTTTTCCATTTCTCTAAAAGGATTTGTCAACAAATCATTACTCCAAGTTATGGGGACAAGACTGGGTCTTATGACCTTATAGTAGTATACAGCTCATATTATTTTTTGTTTGTTTTTGATTTTATCAGACAAGTGGAGAGAGGGAATAACTCTTAATACAAGACACAGCCTAGAAAAAGCAAGTGTCACTAAAAGCTCTGCCAAAAGCGTTTTCCATTTCTAGGTATCCCAGGACCATCTGTGCTGTATGTTCAGCCGTCCACTTGCTCATTGGTCCAAGCCAATATCCAATAGACTTAGATCACTAGAAAGGCTGATGGCCATATTCTGGAAAGAGAACTTGCCCAGAATGTCTTAGGCATAATACTACTGTGATCCCTATCTTCTATTATACATGATCCACCTTGTTTCCTTCAGCACCAAGTTATATATTCAAAATATAGAACTCTTTTCCTTCTTAAACAAAATAATCATCCTCTTATACAAATTCCAAATTTCACTTTTAAAATGTTGACATCTATGGCTGGATGTGGTGGCTCATGCCTGTATTCCTAGCACTATGGGAGGCCAAGGCGAGTGGATCACTTTATGCCAGGAGTTCAGGCAAGCTGGTCAACATAATGAAACCCCATCTCTACTAAAAATAAAAAAAATTTGCGGGACATAGTGGCGCAGACCTTTAATCCCAGCTCCTTGGGAGGCTGAGGCACTAGAATCACTTGAACCTAGAAGGTGGAGGTTGCAGTGGTCGTGCCACTACTCTCTAGTCTGGGCTATAGAGCAAGGCGCTGCCTCAAAAAACAACAAAATAGGCTGGGTGCAGTGTCTCACACCTGTAATCCCAGCACTTCGGGAGGCTGAGGTAGGTAGATCACTTGAGGTCAGCAGTTCAAGACCAGCCTGACCAACACAGTGAAATCCCATCTCTACTAAAATACAAAAATTAGCCAGGTGTGGTGGTGCACGCCTGTAATCTCAGCTACTCAAGAGGCTGAGACAGCAGAATCACTTGCACCTGGGAGGCGAAAATTGCAGTGAGCCAAGATTGCACCACTGCACTCCAGCCTGTGTGACAGAGTGAGACTCCGTCTCAAAAATATATAAAATAAAATAATAAGCCGTGGTGCCAACTACTGGTTCAGACCAAGATGGAGTAGCCTTATTCCATGCTCTTCTCATTTATAACTTGAAAAAAGCAGCACACACATGGCCAGGCACAGTGGCTCACGCCTGTAATCCCAGCAGTTTGGGAGGCCTAGGCAGGTGGATCACCTGAAGCCAGGAGTTGGAGACCAGCCTGACCAACATGGTGAAACCCCATCTCTACTAAAAATACAAAAATTAACCAGGCATGGTGGCAGGCATCTGTAATCCCAGCTACTCGGGAGGCTGAGGCAGGAGAATCACTTGAGCCCAGGAGGCAGAGGTGTTAATGAGCCAAGATCGCACCACTGCACTCCAGTCTGGGGAATAGCGAGACTCTGTCTCAAAATTTAAAAAAAGGTAGAAAGAAGAAGGCAGACTATCTAGGGATATTGGCGCTTGAGGGAAGACATGACAGTGAGTTTCCAGGTTCCCATATATCCCAGATGTGGTGCTGGAAAACCCTGAAATCGAGATCTGCCAATAGGTACATTCAACAAGAGTAAAACTCTGTCTCAATCAAAAGAATGAATGACTAGACAGAAAATCAGCTAGTGTCAGCTAGGATATAGAAGAACTTAACGCCATTAATAAACAAAAACTATCTGAAATTTATAGAATACTGTACACAGCAACAACAGAATGAACATTTTTTTCAAGCCTATAGAACATTCACCCAAATAAGCCATATCCTAGAATATGAAATAAAACTTTCAAAAATGTAAAAGAATTGAAATCAGGCCAACCACAGTGATTCAAGCCTGTTATCCAACCACTTTGGGAGGTTGAGGTGAGAGGATTGAGTCCAGGAATTTGAGACTATCCTGGGCAGCGTAGTGAGACCACATCTCTATTTGAAATTTTAAGAAATAATGAAAAAAAATTTTTTTGAGACAGAGTCTTGCTCTGTCGCCAGGCTGGAGTGCAGTGGCACAATCTCAGCTCACTTTATTCTCCGCCTCCTGGGTTCAAGTGATTCTTCTGCCTCAGCCTCCCGAGTAGCTGGGACCCCAGGTGTGTGCCACCATGCCTGGCTAATTTTTGTATTTTTAGTAGAGACGGGGTTTCACCATGTTGGCCAGGAAGGTCTTGATCTCTTGACCTCGTGATCCACCCACCTCGGCCTCCCAAAATGCTGGGATTACAGGCATGAGCCATTGCGCCCAGCCAAAATAATGAAAATTTTAAAAAAAGAATTGAAATCAGATGTGTTCTCTAACTACAACTGAAAGAAAGAAACTAAAAATGAGTAACAAAAAGATCTCCAGACACTTAGAAATTAAGTACATTCTTTTTAGCACTGAGCACAGCTAACTGCAGCCTTGACCTCCTAAGCTCAAGCAGTCCTGCCACGTCAGCCTCCCAGGTAGCTGGGACTACAGGTGTACACCACCACAACTGACTTTTTTTTTTTTTTTTTTTTTTTGTAGAGACAGAGTCTTACTATATTGCCCAGGCTGGTCTTGAACTTCTGAGCTCAAGCAGTGCTCCTAACTTGGCCTCCCAAAGTGCTGGGATTACTGGTATAAGCCACTGTGCCCAGCCAAATAACACATTGTTTTTTTGGAGATGATCTCGGCTCACTGCAACCTCTGCCTCCTGAGTTCAAGTGATTCTCCTGCCTCAGACTCCTGAATAGCTGGGATTACAAACCTATGCCACCACGCCCAGACAATTTTTATAGTTTTAGTGGAGACAGAGTTTCACCATGTTGGCCAGGCTGGTCTTGAACTCCTGACCTCACGTGATCTGCCTGCCTCTGCCTCCCAAAGTGCTGGGATTATAGGCAAGAGCCACTGCACCCAGCCCAAATAACACATTCTTGGATAATCTCAAAGATAAAGAGAAAGTCTTAATGGAAATTGAAAAATATATATTGAGGTATAAAACCACCTGCTTTTGTGGCTGGGGTATGAGGATTAAATAGATGGGTATAAGAGAAGTGACTCCCTTAGTGCCTGGTACAAGGTGGTCACAGAATGGCGGCACAAGCTCCCCAGGGCCATGGTGCTACTCATCACCCCTCTTTTCCTGAGACTTCTTTTCCTAAGACCCCTGTTCTTTCTACTTCCTTGCCTTTGGCAGTCTTTTCCTTACCTTCTTAAGTGAGGTCAGTGACCTATCAAGATGTCCTTTTGGCCTCTACTTTTCTCCTGTTTGTTCACTTGCCTTGCAAGCCCAGCCTCTTCCAAAGCTTCATTACCACCTCCAGGAAAGTAACTCAGAAGCTCCTCTCTAGCCTGAGAGGAGCTTCTTACTTGGGCTTCCAAAGGCCTTGGAAATGCCTTCTGAGGCCAAAGTAGGGAGGACTTGGTGTTGTCACTGAGTTTCTCAAATTGGATCCCACATTTCTGCTTTTATAGTGGGCAGCTGCCATTATGGTCCCTATACTTAGTCTCTGCTTCTGCTCACTCTTGCTGTATTAAAAGTCAATAGAACCTTTCCTGGGAACTTCCTGCAGTCACAAGAGAGAGTAGCACTCTTTCTCTTTTGAACTTCAGGGGTAAGTTCTTGCCTCTGAGTGCTTGCCTTTGAGCACTTACTGCCTATGGGAATTTCTTCTTCACTGCTTGATTGGATGCTCCTCAGAGGCTGTGTGGATGTCTGGTGCTTTTCTTTAATATTCTCCACAGCCATAGGAACTGGCCTTGTACCACATGAAAAGAGAGTTCTGGGAAGTGTTAAAAGCATGCATAGAAAGGGTTAGAACCAGCTGGGTGTGGTGACTCATGCCTGTAATCCCAGCACTTTGGGAGGCCAAGGCGGGCAGATCACGAGGTCAAGAGATTGAGACCATCCTGGCCAACATGGTAAAACCCTATCTCTACTAAAAATACAAAAAAAAATTAGCTGGGCATGGTGGTGTGTGCCTATAGTCCCAGCTACCCGGGAGGCTGAGGCAGAATTGCTTGAACCCGG